AAGAATCGTCCGATCTGCGTTTCTTTACTATATAAGGGGTGATCTACATTGCCCATTTTTGGTAATGTGCCCGACTGTTATATGAGACCAAAAATTTCAATATATAAAGAATGAAAATCTGCAAATGTGCAGAATTTTGTTAAAATCTGTTTATATAACAGATTAATAATAATTATTAATATTAAAGCTATAATAATTTGCAATAAAAATCATATCTTGGTTTAATTAGAAAAGACAATCTTTGAATATTTTTTAAAAAAGCTAATAAAGCATTCATTTTGAAAATTATTTATTCACGTCTTTTTACCAATTTTGACTTCTTTGATAAGTTAAAAAGAATAATTTTTATCTTCTGTAATATTATTTTGGCTATACAATTAGTAATATGCAATTAAACACTTGGCTTGAAAACTTATTTCTTTGTTTTTACTAGAAATAATTTTTGAAAAAATGTTATATGCTTCTGTATATTTTCTCTTATTATAAAGATTAATTAATTTCAGTATTTAAAACAAAACATTCATCTTTTTCAACTTTTCCAATTAAATAGCAATTCACCATCTTAAATAACTTTTCCTCATCATTTTAGCCTTGGCCAGCTCAAAATAAATATTCCAAGTATCTTCATTTTTTTCTTAACAGATTTCTAAGAATTTGCTTATCAGCAAAAAAAAAAATAAAAGAACACTTTTAGATCCACTTGACACATTATAATCTCATAGCGACAAATAAATTTCTGTATGATGTCTGTCATTCGTCAGCCTTTTAGAACTTTTGAAGAAATTCAAGAACAAATAAGGTAAATTTAATTAATTATGAAATGAATACACTTACTGTAGTACACATATAAGTCGTCTTCTTGAACAACAAATACATACAATTGATAATAATATTTATATCCTACGAAGTCGATTTTACTATTGCATTTTGTCACGATGATGTTTCCATTACTATTATTATTTTATACTAAAAAACGCTGATAAATAAATGAATAGTCTAATATTAACAAACATTGGTATCACGTGAAATGTATGCAACAAATAATTTTGAATTCATTTCATTCTCCAATAGCATCTTGATGCCGTCGGAGAATGAACCGAGTTTAAGATGTTCTAACTTTTAATGAATTGCGTTATTCATTTCATTTTCTGACGGCATCAGGATGTTGTCGGAGAACGAACTGGGTTTAAGATAAGCAAACCTTTTAATGAATTGCCAATTTTTGGCTCATAATATAATGGATTCGGGTTCGGGTCATAATTTTGGTAAACATGATTATGTGGCTTAAGAAATTTTATAACAGTATTCGACACTTCGTTACACTTATCCTTGAAATATAATTCGTAGATCAGCGATCTGCGCCACATTGATCGACAAAACCTGGCACAGAATTTTTTGTGCATTGACCCTAGCCGCACCAAAATTGTCCAATTTTGATTTGCTAAGAGCGACAATCAAAATTTTTTGCCGAAATTACTCAAAATTTTACTAATTAAATCACAACCGCCTATTAAGTGAAAATTGTTCCTGGGCTAATTTTACCATTGTTCGGACCTATTTCTTTGAAATTTTCTATTTTTAGAAGGAAAAAGTTAAAAAGTTAATTCCGGCCAGAAATTAGCAACCAATTTTGTAATGCAGGCCAAAATTTTGCAGATCCACAGCTGTTAGCCAATCAAAATCGAGGATCTGCCGTGACAATTTTGGTGTGGCAGCTAGCGCTAGGGTCAATTTTTTGTGCCATGGTCTTACTGAGGTCGCTCAGCCAAACGACGAGTCACGTGACATTAGTTATTTTGCATTAGCTTATACTTTCGCTCATATAAATAAAAAAGAGCAGCATTTATAATAAAATGCTAATGGTTTTCTAGAAATGAGATTTTAAATTTGGGGTCAAATATTTATGAGCTTGAGTAGCTTATTCAAACACATTGAATAAAAATTTCCTTACATCAACAACAAACGAATAAGAATCATTAGGTTATCCCTACACGAAAAAGAATGTGATATTCCTGAACATGAGTGGTCTTTTATATTTACTATAACTAATCATAACATGAAGGTTTCAGAACTCTAACTAACGAACGGATCAAAACTAACATAAAGAAGAAAATTTTCATTTTTCATTTCTTGCGTAAAAGTGTATATCCCAAACTGATCTTGTCAAAACTGATAAAAAAACAATTATCAAGTCGTTTCTGCTATGAAAACTTTTCTTTAAAACCTTTCCGACCTTCCAAGATTGTCCAGAATTTTCAATATTTAAAAACTACAAGAATATTCTGTTAAATTTATACATGCCACCCAAACTATAAACCTCAAATCCTACTCAAATTACAAACCCAAAACATTATAAAATTGTCCCAATTCCTGATCACAATTTCAAATCAAATAAGTTCCATAAAGAGATTATTATCATGAAATTTTGGGTAAAATAATTCAATTTCATGCCGACATCATGTTTTCTTCTGGCTTGAACGATTTATTCGCGTTTTCCAGAATGGGCTTTAACAGGTCTAATATATTTAATTGCTTTGAAATATTAGGATAATAGTGAAACCAAAAAAGAAAAGTGCAAGAGAAATCCAAAAAAGTACGATTTTATTGATTTAAAAGTTAATTGTTTAAACCATGTTGTTTGGGTTTATAAATTGTACCGGCAATCCTTTCAAGGTATCTTTAATATTGTCTTTATTGTCTTTGCTTATTTTGTATTTTTTGCCAATAAAGAACAAATAAAAATAAAGAAGTGTATAGAAAACCCATAATAAGCCTATAATAAAAATATGTAGTACTAATTCTGGATTAGAATAGATTGAAATAATTGCAAAAATGATAATATAGATAGAAAAAAAAATCATAAGACTTAAATTTACTAAGTTGTAATTTCTAATTTTTTTTTTTCTTGCCTTTCATAACCTTTATATAGTGCAATGTTTGATTATTGAATGATCCATCTAGCAACTTGTCACCAATATCCATAGTTTGAATGTCATCTTTCTTGAGGGTTTTATTTAAAATACATTTTTCGATGGATAATATTAGTGATATAGTTGCACTACCGATGGATAATATTAATGATATAATTTTACTTAGACTCATGAAGTAACTTCTTTAAATATTGAAGATAATAATCTTGGTCCAGAAGGAGGAAAATCATTAGCTGACGCACTTTGCAAAAACAGTATGCTAAATAATTTGAAACTTGAAGGGAATGCTCTTGGACCAGAAGTAGGAAAAGCATTAGAAGATGCTCTTTGCAAGAACACAACACTAAAAATTTTGAATATTCGATATAATAATATTAACTTTAAATTAAAACCAAATAATTTAAATATAAATATAGAACAATAAAGTAGATTAAAATAATAGCAAATTAAAAAAACTGTAATTAATGTGCTATTTATAAAGCTGCTTTTTTTATTATATATAAAACTTATACTGGTTGAAATTATGGGCTGCCATCAATAGAAATCAGGCAGATTGATATTTTTAAAAAACATTAATTTCAACAGTTTTATTACAAAATCCCGAAAGACATATTTCTAAAAAGACTTAATCCCGACAAAGTTAGCCGGCATTAGTTATAATGTTGGCTAATTTAGTTAGTATTATGTCCTTTTGGAAAAATGGCTTTCAGGATTTTATGGTAAAACCCTTAAATTAGATGTGACTTAAAAATTGAAAATTCAAATTTCATACCCAGTAATTCCATAAACTATAAATGTGACAATTAAGAATCACCTATTTTTCATATTGTTAGTCCCATTATTATATAAAGTGTTATTTATGGAGTCAATTTAGTTATATCATATGACTACAGACATATAAATAAGTCAATTGAAAATTTCTTTATTTTTTTTATTTATTTTTGTATTGTATTTGGTTTTTTAAAAAATATCTTTAGTCAGTTTAACATACAAAAACAATACAAAAATGTTTTAAAGAGCCGCAGAATTCTGGTCAAGAATAGTCTAATAAATTTAAATAAAACTGCATTTCATAAATTCAAGAAATCTATATAGCACAATTGCATGAATTCTAACTCTTAAAATTTAGAAAAATCTTAAAACTTACTTTTTTAATTAATATTTTTTCAATTTTTTATAAATCAATTCACTAAATTAAATAAATACAAATGGAACAATAGAATATTAAAGTAAAAAATTACAATTTCATAAATATTTCAACATACTGCACAATATACCAATATTATATAAAAAGATAAATTTATTATAGTTTGTCGAGTATACTTAAAAAATCAATCAAAGAATTATATATACAAGTTTCCATTAAAGGTAGTTTTCCAATAATTCTTATAATGAGCGGGAATCTTAATAGTGGTAGTTTTTGCCCTGAAACTGATAAAGAAAAAATTATAAGTGGTGGTTTTCACTTTACAACTGATGAAGAAAACGGCAAGAAAATATAGGAGGTTTTTGTTCTGCAACTGATAAAGAAAAAAGAAGGAATAATGTGGAAACTTACAAGTAGAAAATTTCTATTCTCAGATTTGTCCCAAAATTATATTATTCCTGTCAGATTTTTCTTGGGGAACGGAAAAGATGATTCCTGGTACTTCTCAAGAATATGCAAATATTTACATGGATTGTTGGTATTCAGAGCTGGAAAAACGCCCTAAATTAGTTAGAATTTTAAATGATCTTGATAATTTATCAACAGAAACAATTTGCAAAGTTGTCATTAATGATATTCATACAAAAAAATAGGTAATTGTATAATTTTAAATCAATTATTCTGAATTAAATACTTATGAATTCTATATTATATATCTAAATGAGCAATAACCAGGAAGCAATCAATCAAATTTTAGTTACGACTATTTTTTCTGATGCTAAACAGAATGTATCAAAAATTGAATTTGACAAAGAATCACTTATGAATAAACCTGAAGAAGTTAAATCTAATAATGTACATGTGTTAGAATCTAGCGGTATATACTATAGAGATATTATTTATTGATTTGATAATTGCTTGATACTAAAATTAAGCATCTTCATTTGGAGAACGTTAAAGCCAGTAGATATTTAATCCAATCTGCTAGATAAAATAAAAAATAAATAAGTATATGAAGAAATAAATATATGAAGAAATAGATATTAAAGACTTAATGCGATGTTTTTTAACTAATAGACATTAACATGTGATCTCTGTTTTAACCCTAATTTAGTCAAATTAGTATTAAAACATTACATTACCTAGCTTTAATGTTTTAACTAAAAATGACATATGATGCTTAATTTCTGACGCATGCTATAAGTGTAACCAATCCTTTAAAGATAATTTTATTTATTATGAATAGCCTATATTTGAAAATACAACACCAATATCCTCCGCACAAGCTGTTTTCAAAACTTCTAATATTTTTACTTCCGAAGCTAAGGATAAGAGACTTTTAAGACTACTTATTCATTTATTTTATTCAGAAAACAAAAAGTTCAGAGATTTGGGATAAAAATCCAAATGCTACCCTTTTTGAAATTTCTAAAATAATTGTTAAAATGTGGAATGAAGCATTGCTGAAAGAACATTTAGCATTCAAAGAAATGGCAGAAGCAATAAACCTTAAACATATTAAAGAAGATTCACCTAATAAGCAATATTAGAGTTATAACCTGGGTCAGAAAATACTGACCTGAACAGGTCAAGGTATTGACCTGGGTCATGACTCGGGTCAACAAGTCATATAGAAAATTATTAATTTTTTAAAGTTAGTGCAACCTTGTATAAAGCTAATGTAAAGACCAAAAAAATTAGATCCCTTCAATAAAAATAATATGCCATGAAATAAAATTAGAAATATTTGAAATTTAAATAAATGTTTAAAGCCAATTTTATTTATGAATTGAGACTGAATTAGATAAACCTAAAGCTTTGGTATATTATCTAAAATCAGCTAAGGATGGTATGGCAGAATTGCACAATATATTGTGCACTTACCCAGGATATAGAGTCGGTGAATATTACTTAAATAAATGAAAAAAAATTTGTATTAGCATATTTCAGCATTCTTGAATGATAAAATAAAACACGTGACAATAAATATAGATCGAATTATAAGATCAGGCATATAGAAATAAATTAGTTAAATAAGTAATGCATAAATTGTATAATAGGGTTTATAGAAAATAGTATGATTGGTAATAAATTAATTAAAAGTCAAATGTGCATGATTAAACAGTGTAATTAAATTAAAGAAAGCGCGTATATAAGTAAAAGTGAAAAAAATAAAATTTAAGGTGTGCTTTTCTCTTTGTAAGTAATATACTCAGAATGCATTATTTGAAATACTTACCTTATTTGAACCTGTAGTGGTTGATATAGTTCAGCATGCTCATTGTTTGAGTTGAAAACCCCTATGACAATGAAGATTTTTAAAATTATCATTTTCGCGGAATTGGTGTGAGAAAAGAATAACCATTTTAGATGCTTGTACTGCATGTATATATATATGATCAAATTAGTAAGCATTCCAAGATTATTGTTGTTGCTTCTATGAAATTGGTGTGGGAAAAGATTAACAAATTTAGATTTTCTGCATATATAGAATAGATTAGTAAGCATTTCCATGGAATTGGAGTGAGAAAAAAATAATGGTTTAATTTTTTGCTTGTACATACATACATATATAGAATTGATTGATAGTGCTTCTGTGGTACTGGTTTGCGAAAAAAATGATGGATGGTTTTAGATTTATTGCATCATCGTACATATATAGAATCGTATTAGCAAGCATTTCAAAGTTTTTAATGCCCAAATTTTACCATTAAATACTTGCTAAGTTGTCTATAAAAAGTGAATTATATCTGTTAAAGATTACAAGTATAATAACGATCACTGAATCTACCATTAACATAAAACAAAATTGCATATCATAGGTATTATTATATAGTTGTTATTATGATTTATAGTGTTTATTGCAAATAAGTAATTAACTATTATTTTATTCTGTAGAATAAAAATTATTGTAGTTCGCTGGACTTTGTAAGTATATTATAAAACACTCTATAAAAATCTGGCTAAATTTATTATAACACTCAAAGAATATGTAATTAATCAAGGACCAACAAAGTCATATCACAGATTTGAATTACAAGCAGATAAATGATGAAGGATGAATATTTAGATAATATAGTGATAGAGCCTGAGGATAGTGATCTGTATGAGCCTGAGGATATTGATCCAAATGAGCCTGAAGATATTAATTTGTATAAGCCTGAATTCTGATTTGGATGAGCCTGAGAATTCTGATTTGGATAAGCCTGAAAATTCTGATTTGGATAAGCCTGAAAGTATTGATTTGGATGGGCCAGAATCTAATAATGCAGATAGTAATAATAATAATGAAACTTTATTTAAGTCCTCTACATTATCACAAACTGGTGGTCAATTGTTAGTCAAAAAATAAAAAAAAATTGAAAAGCCGGGTGGTAGTCTTGTTAAAGAATTTTATGTGTCAAAAACAATTAATGATTTAGATTATTTGGTTTGTTGCCATAAAATTTGTATTCTATAGACAAAATATTTAATAGATGGTTCTACTTAGAATTTATGGAGATATTTGAGAAATAAGCATCATATTTCATGAGCTATGATGGAAAGTGGTTGAGTAAAGATTGTGGTAAAGAGTAATGATAGTTGTGAATTTTCTGTAATGTCTGAATCTGTGCAATCAATGATAGTACAGTCATTTAACAAAGTGAAAAAATATGCATTGAATAACCCCAAACAAAAAAATCTCTATAATAATGTAGCTGCTTTTATTATTGAAGAGCTTCAACCATTTTCGATTATTCAATTACAAGCTTTTAAAAGAATAATTAAAGGACTTGATACCCAGGCTAATGTACTAAGTAATAATCGGTTAAAAGAAATTCTTATTAATTCTGAAGATAAAATTTTACAAAACATTCATGAATATGCACTTGATAGTGCTGAAATTAGTTATGTTTCTTTTACCACTGATATGTGGACGTCAAACAATGGCGATCCGTATTTTGGACTTACCCTTCATTGGATTAATGATAGTTTTCAAGTAAATGAAATTACTGGTAATATTTTGTATCTCCCATATCCCCATACCACTGAATGTCTTTTAAATAAAATTGTAGAAATTTTAGATAATCAACTTAAACATATAACTGTTAGTGGTACAATTGATAATGGGTCAAATATTAAGTTATGTTTAGAAAAGTTAGAACAAAAATATAGCATTTTTTGAATTCATTGCTTTGGACATACCTTACAACTTGCAATTAATGATGCATTAAAAGGGTGTTCTGAAATTGTCAACTTAATAAAAAGATGTAAAGATGTTGTATTACATTTTAGTGGAAGTCTAAAGCAAAGACAGTTTCTTTTAGAAGCGCAAATGAAGATAGAAAACTAGAATAGCTTTCTTTTTGTAGTTCATGATGTCTTGACGAGATGGAATTCAACATTTTATTTATTAAAATGACTAACAATTCTTAAACCAGCAATATATAGGTACAAATCATTTTTAGTTGAAATTAATGATAATACTTCATTGAGAAGTTATGAGGAAAAAGAGTTATCATTGGATGAATGAGAAAAATAAATGAGTTAGTTAAATTACTGTATCCATACGAGGTCATTTTAAAAAAATTGTATGGTTCACAGTATCAACACTTTCACAAGCATGGTTTGCTATTAATTTTATTAAAATAAAGCTTGATTGTGCAATAGTAAGTAATGCTGATATTCAGAGATTTAGAGATCGTCTTTGTGAATCACTTTAGGAACGATTTTTGGAACCAACAAAACCAATATGGCTTGCTGCTTTTTTTGACCCATGAACTAAAGATATGCAAATATTTACAGAAAATAAGAAAAATCAAACTATTTCAGAAGCACATATAGAATATCTTGAGTTAGCTGCAAATTACTATAAAACAGACAATTTATCAGATTTAGCATCTCATGATATAATATAAAAAATAGATTATTACTTGCCTTTATACTATAATAGAGCCATGTATTACTAATGATTTTTTTCAACAAGTCAAAGTCTTGTTTCAAAAAGAGGTTTTTCAACTGCTTTTTTGTTTTTAGTATCAAGATGCACATAATTTATAAATTCACTTAAATGTTTAATTGTTTGTAAGAACATTATCATTACTATGCTTGAAAAACGTTTAGTATTTATATTTTTTTATCATCATTATACAAGTGCTAATAATTTGATATAAACTTAAATTGTTCAAGTTTCTAAAATTTAAATAATTTTAATTCTTATCAATTAAAAAAAGCTACGATACTTTGTGAAATAAAATTATTCATAACATTGCAATAATTAAATTACTTCATATGATGCTCGATATATGTTTCCAAATTGAAAGCAACAATTTTATAAAAAATAATTTTATTAAATGTTTCAATATTAAAATTAAAATTAAATATTATATTGAAATAAAAACCCAAATATATATATATATATTAGTTATTTGTGTTGTAAGAATTCAGATAATTTATAAAACTGTTGGTAATACTAGTAACTTAAATTATGTCAGAACAGGTATTTTTCAAAATATCGATATTCATACAAGCACAGAGCATAATGACACGAATTAAAGCCAAAATTTGAAATTATATCCGCGTTAGTTCGTGCTTATATGTAAACCAATTATTAAATTCAACAAATTATTTATTTATAGAAGAATTATAATCAATCTTAAAAATTTCAACAGAGAGTAAAAAAATCTTGGAAACAGATATTCAAATAAGGGTCTTTTAGAAATTTATTTGGAGATTGCAAAAAATAATCCTGAATTTCTTATTGAGGCCAAGTATAAAATTGCATTCACCATAAAACTCATAGGAAATACCAAAATACACTGAAGATTGCCAAAGAAATTCTTGATGATTACAAAAATATAAAGATGCTTATAGCTTATTGCTACAAGAAAATTGATGATGAAGAAAGTGCTTTTAAACTCTATAAAGAAATTGCAAATAAAAATATATTTTCACAATCAGATGTGATAAAAAAGAAAGTCAAGAAAAAAAAAGAAACCCAGTTTTTTTTTGGTTATACATGGTAAACAAATATATAATTGCTATACTTTTTTAACTATCAAAATTTTTCAATAATTAAAAGTATTTTTATGGATTAAAAATAAGCATTTCTTAATAAATGACCAGGATATATATGCTGGTACCTATATAAGTGTCAACTTGTATTGTGCCTGTGCCTATACATGTTGGCAAAATCCCAAATTAATATTGTTTGAATTTGTCCGTGCCCAAATCCCAAATTCATCCCAAATTAATTTCTCAAAAACTTTATTAATAATCTTTGTTTAAGCAAAAGATAGATATTCTTATTATTATAGATAATATATTTGCAAAATATTAAGACACTTTTTTGATTTAATCTTTTACAAATAGCAATTGTTTTTTTGAATTTGGGATTTGTCCGGGTTTTGCCAGGAAGTATACCTGTGCCCCAAATTTTAAAACTAAGTTAGGCCCATGCTTTAAACATTTTTTTGTGCCAGCATGTGCCAGGTTTGCAGAGCCCTAATTTTAACAAAATATTATAAGTTTTTTACAAACAAGGAGTATAACATGTATTAAAATATTTAAGAAAGTATTATCTTTATTGCTAATTATTAAATACTTTAATACTATATGTAGTTGAGTAAATAAATTCACGAAATAATATTAAATTGAACCCATTGAATATACCAATTGATTTTATTTAGCATTAAATCTAATAATACAGAATTTGGTTGATTTTATTTAAGAATGGTAAATTAATTATTTCTGGTAAAATTACTAATTAACTATATTCGTGGACACAATTGAACTTGACTAATTTTCCTGTATTGTTTGAAAATTTTTTTATAAAGACTTAGCTTTAGTTATACAATCACCTGTAAACAACAATAGCAATCCTGATAATCGATATCCACTAGTATAACTTCAATAAGATTAGCTTAACATTTTTTACTATTTTCTAGATTGTTCAAAAATCAAAAAATGTTCGAACAAACAGTAATTGATTTATTAGCTGAAAACTCTTTTAGTGTAAACTACATTAAAAAGGACAAACATAAATATCCATTCTTGAAAGTATCTTTCAGGCAATATTATTATCATCTCATTATCTGGGATAAAAACACTATTATCATAAAAAATATACTATATATAGAAAAAGAAAGGTCAAAGCTTTACAAATTTGAAAATGTAAATAGGAAAAATTCAGCTAACTTGTTTATAAGTCCAGTTTAGGGAACAAAGTTAGTAATCAATTCAAGAAAATAGATAATATAAGATACAACAATCTACCAAACCTTGCTAATCCTGATTTTTTAACCAAAAATGAGAAGAATATCATTAATTATCTTTATAATACCATTTACTTAAATTATTCAGATTTAACAGGAATTCCAGATATGAATAATTTTGATTTTATTTAGTTTATAAAAACTAAAGTGAAAAATCTTGAGAATATTGAAAAAAATTGTTTGAAATTTGTTTCTACAAAAAAAATACCTTTAACTAAACAAAATAAATACCTTTCCAAGAGTATTAAAAATATCTTAATGAAAAAGCCTATGTTGGGCTATAGAGTTATCGATAGGGATGACAAATGTATTTTATTACATAATTAAAAACAAGTGAAGATAAATTAAAAAACAGGTATGTTCCAGTGAAGTTTTCACTGGAACTGATATTACTGAACCAGAATTTGCAAATAAAGTTTATAATACAAAAGATCTTAATTTACTTGTTCTTTGCTCTGATGGTGAGATTTAACAATTAACATATAATAACTACATCTGTATTTATAGTTAACCTTAATTCTTCTAAATTATCCTCAAATATATTAGTATCAATTAAATTTTGATTTTTAGTAAAAGAGCAAAAATAAAAACTATCATCTTGTATTTCATTCATTTTTAAAAACTTGTAATAGTAAAAAAAAAAATTGATTAAAAAATTAAAAATTCAATTATTATGGTATTATTAATAGATGTATTTTTAATTAGTATTAACAAGAAATTTACATATGTATTACAAATTAAATTAGCAGGCAAATTTACCTGCTCTACAATTGAATATCTGATATCATTTTGATTGTGAATTAAATTTAATTGGTTAAACTAGCAGGCAAATTTGCCTACATCATATAACATCCCAACTATTTTTGAAGTCAACTCATTAACACATAATCTCTAACAAATTGCTAACTTCAATACTAATTTATCAGAACTTCACTTTTATACTGATGGCTTTGTTATTAATTTGGGCACCCCACAATGCTCTATGGGTATTGAATGAGTTCAAATTTCTAACAGTTCTATATTAAATACATTTTACACACAAATTAAATACTGGCCTTGTTTATTTAAATCTGAACTTATTGCTATACTATCAGCTCTTACTACTGCTCCCAGAAACTGTACTATAAATATATATACTAACTCCCAATCTGTAATCTCCAAATACTATAGCCTTTCAAATCTTTCTACTTTATCACTTACACATACACCATACTTTTTACTCTGGAACACAATCATTAACTTTATCAACTTATACAAAATTCAAATTATTTTTCACAAAGTTACAGCTCATCAAAATAACATATTTAATAATCTTGCTGACCAACTTGCATAAAATTATTACAATCTCCCATACCTCAGCTTTACACCTTATAATATTTACAATCTAGTTTACTCTCTAAACTTTCAAAATCATCCTCTAGAGCTACCTATTTGCTGCAGTGTTTGTACAATATGTCATGCATATATTTACGCACAATGGACAACACAAAATTGTTTTCAAAAATGGAATGCAATTTTCAACCAAATTAACTGGCAAGCTACTTGGTTATATATTAACAATAATCAAAAAATCACAAACTTTTCACATAGTTTCAATCATCTACACTTAAGTTCTTTAGAATTAAAATCTTACTTGATAACCTTCCTAATCTATATAATCTAAACAAACACTATCATTCATATTCACCTTATTGTTACCAATGCTAACAATCTAACTTCTATCTTCATTGAATCACTTTCCTATCTAACCAGCTACTCAATAACCTCATTGACAACTTATTACAACACACTCTTAATACAACCTCACTTAACACTACTTTTGAAATTATTACTAATCTACACTATCAAATCAAACAACTACACTGCATGTATATTTATAATTCACCCAACCTACCCTCAATCTTCTCAACTCTATCTGGCTTAGTTCCAAATGAAATTATCTCAGTTATTTTAAATATATTATCAAACAAAATAGCTACAACACTTGTTATTAAATTTCTACTTCATCTAAATTAACAAATCTATCACAAAAAAGGGTGTGGCGACCTAGTGAAGTGGTGGGGTTGCTGCACCCCCAAGCGGCAGGTCTAGAGTTCGAATCTCACGAATAATGATTTTGAAAATACTAGATCTGTATCGGTTAACGTTAAGATTATCAGTTGGATCCAGATATTTGTAATATTGGTCACACCATCTCAAATGGGAGCTTCGGTGCAATAAATCCAGGAAACCGGAATTACCGAAAACTCATTTGGCAAGTCCCGAGTAGGGAGATAGTATGATCTTTGATGGTGCTACAGGAAGACTGAATTTGGAATTAGAGACTGAGACTGGAGAACCAAGCAACCAGGTCCTTGAAGGGGGGACAAACTAGCCAAACCGCCAGGTCGCCAACTGGAGGAAAAGGACATGTACTCTGGAAGCATGTACCAAGGGGAGGAAGACCATAAGGCACCTAAAGCCTGGGCAGACAGACCCTTCCGGGTTGCTGGCTAGAAGTAAGGGAGAGACAGGTAAAAGAATCCAAGGAAGAAAGAAAGTCCGAATGTAGATACTGGGGTTGTGCGAACCTTACAAGGGCAGGAGTACATAATGGGTGCCTAATTAGGAAGGTTGGTGCTTGAGAAATGTCCATAGAACAGCAGCACCCCAAAAGGTGGCATGAGATATGAATACGGAATAGCAGGTCAATATGTACTAATTAGGAAGAAGTTATAGAAACAAGCACGTGAATACATGTATGGAACATGTACCACTGTGTTAGGTTTACCTCGAGGATAGTTAAGTGTTCTAAGGTAGGGTGCGAAATCCATATTGGGTGATACCAAAATCTAG